AGTCTTGCCTGGGCTAGACAACAACAGCCTGAACAACTTGTGAGATTCCATCTCAAAAAGAAAAAGAAGTGGTATGTGGCTCAGTGGTGGAGTGCTTGCCTAGAATCCCACAGTGAGAGGCTGGGAGTGTGGCTCAGTGGTAGAGCACCTGACTAGAATCCCCAGTGAGGGACTGTGAGTGAGGCTCAGTGGCAGAGTGCTTACCTAGAATCCCCCAGTGAGGGCTGGGGTGTGGCTCAGTGGCAGAGCACCTGCATAGAATCCTCCACCGAGGGACTGAGTGCTCAGTGGTACAGCGCTTGTCCAGCATGCCTGAGGTCCTGGGTTACATCCCAAATAGGATACACACACACACACACACACACACACACACACACACAATTTACATGATGAAGAACAAAGACTCTAGAATCCATGTGTAATCCTGACATGCACCTTGTTTAAACATCAGTCCTGTTGACCTGTTCAGATTCTGCAGAGGGAGAAACAAAGGCCTATGGGTCAGAGGCCAGTAAACTTGTTGGTTTTACCCAAACTCCTGCTTTTCATGAGGTGATTCCTTTTAGGACCTGATGTTTTCTGACTGGATGCATTGCACCTATGGTAGTGGGGTGCTCTGAAGAAGAGGGGAGCCTAAGTGCCAGTACATAGCCCTCCTGAGGTTTCTGGTCTCTGTCCTTCTTGAACTCCTGTGTCACCTCTTCTCTTCTTGTTTCCATTTCTTTCTTTTTTTGGTTTGGTCTTTTTGAGACAAGGTCTCTCTGTAGCTCCAGCTGGACTGAAATTCACTGTGTAGACCAGGCTAGCCTTAAACTCACAGACATCTGCCTGCCTCTGCCTCCCCAGTGCTGGGATTAAAGGCATGTACCACCACTTTGGCTGTGTGTTTTCATTTCTGAGAGAGGCTATCCAGACCTGTAACACAGGACCTTGGCTCTAGGAGGGACTGACCAACAGGCTCCCCAAAATAAGGACATAAAGGAGGCTACAGAGACACCTAAGGGGTTAAGAGCATCAGCTGCTCTTGCAGAGGAACCAGGTTTGGTTCCCACCACCCACAGAGGGGCTAACAACCATTCTTAACTCTAATTCTAGGGGATCATCTGATACGCTTTTCTGGCCTCCTCCGGCATTACACGTCATATGTGCACTTACATACGTGCAGGCAAAACAGACATACACATAGAATAAAAATAAACAAATAAGTAAATAAAAAATAAAATAGGACATAAAAGACAATAGGTGGCCCTGCTTGGGGCACTTAAACAGGATAGCGATGGTGGTTCACCACTCTAGATGGGACAGTTCAAGTCCCCAAACAGGATGCAAAACCCTAGGGGTGGTTGAGGTCCTTGCTAGGTAGGTCAGCTAAAAGCAAACTCAAGGACTGCCCCAGGGGAGCATGCTCAGAGCGATGTTGCCCTTTCCCCTAGTGAATTTTTCGACTTTAAGAATAGTTAGGCCTCTATACATACTCTTACATCTTATACATCTACTTACAACCGACTGCATTATGGGTAAAATGAGCTTCCAAGAAAAGCATGCTTCTTTCCTGGAAGGGCCCACTGTGGGGCTGCTCCGCTTAGTCCTGTCTGTAGAGTGTACTCTTGTTTCCTTGATTGCTTTTTTTAAACTCTTGGCTACTTGATTTACTACTATACCCAAGTGAATTCTTTTCCTTCCAAGACAGCTACTGAGCGTGAGACCAAAGGAAACTGGGGACTTCCCTGTTAGAACATGGGCATACTCCTAAATACAGTGGTCACCTTTAAAAGGCCAGATCCCACAGCCTGAAGAGATCAGGCCACGCCTCCTTGTAGCTGTCTCTGGGAGTTGATTAGTTATCTGTGCTGTGGCCCAACTATAGCCCTTGATTTATGATCTTAACAGTATGTGGCTCCTCCATGTTCTTTGTACACTATGCTGAACTAATTCTGTGATGTGAAACTTCCTGCTAGCCTTCTAAAACTTATAAAAGTCTGATATTTCCTTCGATCTAAGGATTTGTTTCAGGAGGCACTGTGAAGGCTGTCCTCTGACGAGGCTCCTCCCCGTAGAAGCTTGCCTGTCCTCTCTTTTTAATTTATTTTGTTTGTGTGACAAGATACCATTACATAACCCTGCGTGGTTTGGAACTTGCATATAGACCAGGCTGCCCTCTAACTCATAGAGCTCCACCTGTCTCTGCCTCCTGAGTGCTGGGACTAAAGGCATGTGCCACCATGTTTTGCCCTTATTCTCACTCTTTGAAAAAAAACAAGTTAAAACAGGCTAGGTGTGGTGGCACACGCCTTTAATCCCAGCACTCAGGAGGCAGAGGCTGGTGGATCTCTGTGAGTTTAAGGCCAGCCTGGTCTACCTAGTGAGTTCCAGGCCAGCTGCGGCTACAGAGAGACCCTGTCTCCCCCAAAATTAAAACAATATTTTATTTATCTTTATTTTATGTATGTGAGTATTTTATCTGTATGTATGTAAGTGCACCACATACATGCAATTCCCATGGAGGCCAGAGGCAGGCATTGGATCCCCTGGAACTGGAGTTACAGATGGTTGTTAGTTGCCATGTGGGTGCTGGGAATTGAACCCAGGTCCTCTGCAAGAGCAGCCAGTGTTCTTAACTGCTGAGCTATCTCTCCAGTCCCTCCTCACTCTTAATAAAGCTCCTTTTGGGGCTGGAGAGATGGGTCAGTGGTTAAGAGCACTGACTGTTCTTGCAGAGGACCCAGGTGTGGTTCCCAGCACCCACACAGCAGCTAGCAACTGGCTGTAACTCCAGTTCCAGGGAATTTGACACCCTCCTCTGACCACAGGCACTGCACAACCAGGGGGCACCTACCTATATGGCGGTATTTCACTCATAAAATAAAAATAGTAAATAAAATATTTGAAAAATAAATTAAAAATAGTAAATAAAAATTACAAATAAATAAAGCTCCTCTCCAGGTTTTAAAGAGAAGACCTTCCTTCCTGCTAAGGCCCCATCATGTTTATATCTCCATGTATTACACGTTTCTGTCTGAAGCTCTCCCTTACATCATGGCTGTGGGGCCTTGCTTCTAATAGACTAAATTTCTGAAGGGAATTACGCATCACATTCCTTTTCTGACTGACTGCTGTAGGTTTATTGTTATCTTATCATTATTATATGTCACAGTCCCCATAACAGTCCCATAGTCTCAGTCACCACCCAGGAGTCCTCAATGCCAGCAGGTCTCACCCCATGCTCTTTTTTTCTTAATTAAAACTATTTATTTATTTTTATGTGTATGAGAGTTTTGCCTACACGTATATGTGTACATTGTATGTGCAGTACCCACAGAGGCCAGGAGAGGGCGTCAAATCCCCTGGAACTGGAGTTACAGATAGTTGGGAGCCACCATGTGGGTGCTGGGAACTGAACCCAGGTCCACTGCAACCAGGGCTCTCAATCGCTGAGCCATCTCTCCAGCTCTGTCATCCCACTGTCTTGCTACACTCTGGACCACAGCTGCCTGAATAGACAACTGTGGCTACGAGGTTTACATGGTCAAGCCCTTGCCTTCTGACCACTAGCAGATCTCATGTGCCAGATAAGGGTCATAAGTACCTGCAGGGGTTTATTAGTCAGTAAGGGGTTCTACCACTCCAGCAGACAAAATCCTGTTTTCTCAGGATGCTGCCTGAGACTAGCTTCCTATTCACAGGCAGAGGCTTCTCCTTTGTAGGTCCAAGCATGGCAGTCTTTGAGAACTCAAAAAGCTACAGAAAATGGGACATTTTCTGCCCTGTCTTTCCGATGGCTACACAAAGGGGTAGAGTTATTTAAAGACAAGAGGTATCTCTCTGGCCCTAACCACTAGTCACCCATGTCCTTTCCACTGCCCCCTCCAGCAACTGCCTCTAGGGGTACTGGGGTATACTCAGCACTCATGTCTAGGTTCAGCCCCCTTCTTACTGCCTCCCCAGTCCTTGAGCATGTATGTGCAAGGCAGCTGTGCCGTACACACCTGGAACGTGGGAGCAGGCTCCTGGCCCCAAGGATTCTGGGTCCCTGGCATAGGGAGTATCAACAGAGAAAGGGCTATGGTTCTCAGTGGGGTGTCTCTTTGGCTACACAGACTCTTGCTCTGTGAGCTGGAGAAGGCCTTGGCTGGGACCCTCAGGGCAGAGTCCTTGGGTGGGGCCCCAGCTGCCTGAGAAGGGTCCTGTCTCCCTTAGTATCTTTATTTTTACTTTATTTATTTATTCATTATGTATGTATGTATGTATGTATGTATGTATGTATGTATGTATGTATTTTAATTCAGTTGTTAACTGGCATCCCAGCATGTTCTTACTTATATGCAGATCTCAGCTTCTAACTTCTACATACGTGTATGTATTGGGGGGCTAAGTAGGGGTAGAGGCTGGGAAGCTAGAAAAAGTCCATGAGAGGAAAAAAGAAGCTTCAAGGGAAGGGATGGGAGGGCATGTGATATGAGGGAGGAGGGGGGAATATTGCAGGAGGAAGGGTACAGCAGGATTGGGGTCAGGGAGAGATGGGGAAGGGGAGCTTCGCCCACATCAAAACTAAGTCTACATGAAAATATCCTAAGGAAACCTTTGACTTAAATATATTAAGTGAGGTTACCCAGTGTGATGGTTAATAATGATTCTCAACTTGAAGAATCTAAAATCTCTTGGAGTTAAGCGTCTGGGCATGCCTGGGAGGGAGTACCTAGATTAGGTTGATTGAGGTAGGATGACCCACCCTCAATGTGGGTGGTACCCAATTCTCTGGACTGAGATCTCAATAAGGAATGATTAAAAGGAGCCTCCTGGCTGCAGATGCAATGTGTCCATCTGCCTCACACTCCTGCCACCACGCCTTCCCCCATTGTGATGGACTGTACCCTTAAACTATGAACCAAAATAAACCCTTCTTCAAGTTGCTTTTGTCTGGTATTTTGTCACAGTTTTGAGACAAGTGACTAACACCCCCAAGTTCAGAAAGACAAATGCTGCATGTTAACTCTCAGTACCTTTCAACCGCACAGGCTGTGGCCTCGTGGCTGATGGACGAGGAGTACGTCTGCCACTCTCCTCCAGGCAGCTCTCGAAACTGCACAGTGAAGTACCGGATTGGGGAGGCTCCATCGCTGCCAGGGACCCACTGGAGCCGGAGGCTGCGTGCTGTGACCTCTGCCTGGGGTGCCAGGAGCTCTCTGGGTGGTGCTGGTCTCTCTGTAACCAGAAAAAGTAGAAAGCCAAGGACCCATGAGACCCTATTCTATGCTGACTCATGCTTATAATCCCAGTGCTAGTGGGTGGGAACAGGCAGATCACCAGGGCTCCCTGGCCAGCCAGCCCAGCAGATGAGCCCCAGCCCCTAGTGAAAGTATTCCATCTTAAAAAACAAGATAGATGGTGTCTGAGGAACAATGTGACACTAATACTCAAGGTTGACCTCTGTCTTCCATATGTACCCAGCCCCACACATTCAATCCACACACATGTGTCCTCCCCGATAAACCCATACACACACAAAGAAAGAAAATCAAATCCTTGGCATGGGAGAGGAAGTTGGCTTATAGCTAACTTTGGATCTGTCTTGGGACCATAGCTCATTCACACGGTAGAGTCAGTCAGAGGCACATGTCTCCATAGACCCCGGCCCCCACCATCAAGGGCAAGTCTAGTTGGATGACAGCTGGTGTCACAGGCTGGTGCTCTTCCAAGCATCTCAAGCTCCTTTGCATTCTGTCTGATTTGGGGACTCAGCTCATGGTCAACACCTACTTTCTTTGTCTTTGCAGTCAACCCAAGTCTAACACACAACAAGAATCTACTGAGTTCTTGTAAGGGGTGGTGGGCAGGTGCAAGGTGGGGGTACCTCTGGGTTATCACTGGTTTCTACAGGGTTAGACTGAAGGGTGCAAAGTACCTAGGGCCAATCTTGGCCTTGAGTGGGTATCGTGTGCCTGACACTGTGTTCTCACAGCTCATTGATTTCAACAGAGGAACTCCACAGAGGGAGAAATAATTGTTTAATTGTTTATCATGAAAATTATTGATTCTGATTAAAATGTGTGGCATGTAATAAAGCAGCCATTGATTATGGGTCCCTCAGTGATGGGGCTGTGAGAAGCACTTCGATCCAGCTCAATCAGTAATCCTGGCCATGGGTACACACACTGGCTGGAAGATTTCTACAGGCCTGAAGAAGAGCCCAGCACCCTGTACAGCTTCTAAAGCCTCAGAAACAGCCCGGGATCCCTGTCCCTAAGTGTTGCACTAGGACCTTGTGGGAAAGCAAATCACTTCAGGAATGAGAAACAGGGTGCCAGTGGGGTACAGGGTGGGAGGCGGTGGTCTTGCACCCCAGGCAACAGCTAGGCAGGCCAGGTTGCACTAGCCTACCCACAGAAGGGTGTTTATGTGGATTTTTCTATGTGATCTAACTCAAGCTCTAGCAAGGCCCTAGCAGGCTTCTCTCACCCTTTGCTTCAGAAGTACTGAAAGACTGAAGAGAAAGTTCAGTTGTAAAGTGCTTGTTGTGTAAGCGTGAGGGTCTGAGTTGGCTCCCCACACGTGAGAAAAAAAAAAACAGGCTGGGTGGTGCATTTTTATAATCTTGAGGAGGAAGAGACAGGAGGAACCCTGGGACTTACTGGTTCCAGTGTTGTAAAGGGCAGATACATGATTTATCAGAATGGAGGGGGTGGTAAAGCAAAGCTGCTCACCTCATGCAGCCTGGGAGCAGATAAGAGAGAAAGTGTGCAGCAAGGGGCCAGCTATAACCCTAATGGGCATGCCTCCAGTGACTTACTTCCTCTGGAGAGACCCTACTGATTGTTAAAGTTCAGATAGCCCTGCCCCCTCACCAAGAGGATCCCAAGGACTTCTCATGCTCCTGAAAAAAGGGAACCTAGCTGATAAGCACCTTGGTCTTTGAAGTCAAGAGAAGCAGACTTTTCTCCACTGTTTGGCCAACACAGCAGGCTTCCCCTTTGATCTCTAAAGAGGACAGGTTTTAACAGTCCAGCTCTCCCACTCCCCCGCCCAACTTAAAAAAAATACATCTTCCCATCTTCTGCAGGAAGCAGAAGCCTCCCTTTTAAAAGACCCCAGCTCAAGACCTGGGCAGACATTTTCCCTGCCCTGAAGGGAATCTGTCCCATGTGTTCCTTTGCTAATAAACCCTATTTTGATGGAGTTTTAGCTGTGCCTCGGTGCCTCATCATCCATTCGCTCATTCTCTGCCAACTTTTTACCTATCACTGATTACTAGCCCAATTAGCTATGAACTTACCAGGGACTAATTTAATGATCCCTGGACAAGAGGGGATGGGTGTTCTGAACTGTATATGGCCAAATATAGCCTAGCCAATCAGGAAGCTCCAGGCCAGTAAGAGACCCTTCTCAAAAGAAAAACAAAAGAAAAATACACGCAAAAGGAGTGTTGATCATCCCTAAGGAGCACATGACCTAGGGGAGAAGACAGGGACCAATGGTGGTGGCTTGTGGGCCTCTGAGCAGAGACTCCGGGCCTTGGCCACAGCCCCCAGTTCTTGCAAATACTCCTAGGTACCCTGGGACCCAGGCTGCAGCTTTCAGTCCCTGGGGCTGGCCCTCCCAGCACCCACCTTCTGAATCCTAGGTCCCCTGTGCCAGGAGCCATGGGTATTATAGGTCACATCACCACTCTGTGTCCAAGCTCATCCTCCTCAAAGAAGCCCAGTAAGAGTAGCCACTGAAGAAATGTGGAAGTGACAGAGGAGCATACCAGTGAAGCCCCTCACACACACCTGGCTAACAGGACAGGCAGTCAGCATTTGAGAAAAAAACCGCAGTAGAAATACATGCAAATTCACAAGGATGGGCAAGACATTAGCTTTAAGAGATTAACATCTTCCTAAATGGGCTGGGGATGGGGCTGAGTTGGTATAGTTTGCCTAGTATGAATGAGGCCCTTGGTTTGATTCTCAGTGCTGTATAAAACCAGGTGTGATGGCACATACCTATAACCCTAGCACTTGAGAAGTAGAGGCAGGTAGATCTGGATTTCAAGATCATCCTTGGCCATATAGTTAGATCATGGGCCTCCCTATTTTAAGACCAGATATAGCCTACAGAGATCAGGCCACAGCCCCTCCTAGAACTAACAAGCCCCTGCTGTAAGGAATAAAACACACTGATCCAGTGTGTATGTATGTGGGAGGGGGTATGGTGGTAGAAGATAGGGAAACAAACCCAAGGCAAAGGAGATCTAGCCCAGGGTCCCCTGAAGTCCTGTCCCTACCTACTGCAGGAGTGACTGAACTTCAGAAATAAAGCTTCCTTACTGTCTCTGCAGTCCCTAGCTTTGAGTTACAGCCAGATTCCCTGAGTACCCTCAAGTCCTGATGCCCCAGAGATATGTATTCCCCACAGCAAAGTCTTCTACTGTCCTATAGCACCCACCCACTCTTGTCCAGGAATTATTAGATCAGTCGTCTGAAGAGTTCATGGTTGAGTGGGCTACTAGGAGTTTGGGCCTTGCCGGAGGAAGTGAGTCACTGGGGGCATGTCTATTGCTTGCTTCCTCTCACTCTGCTTCCTGGCTGTGTACAGTGAGTAGCTTTGCTTTAACCACACCATCCATTCCATTACATCATGTGTCTGCCCTTTAAGACATTGGTCACCTGGGGAGAACCTATTCCTGTCATTCTGCCAAACAGACATATCATTAAACCTAATGACTTATTATATCCATAAATTAGTGGATCTCTCAACCTCCACTGGAGACACAGAGATCCACAACTGGTCAGCAGGCAGAGAATAAGAGACTGCAGAATGCTCAGCCATAAATGGAGCCTCTCTTTTATACTCTGTACCCCTAAGGCTCAGGGATTTTTGTGGAAGAGGGTGCAGAAGGATTTTAAGAGCAAGAGGTAGAGAATCACCACAGTGAAAGTGTTTTCCAGACACAGCATGGCAGTTGCACACATGAACTCGGTTCAGTCACTGAGTTGTGACTGCATACACAAGACCTGCTCATGCTCAAGCCAGACAAAATCCCAGCATAGCAAGCAAGGTGGGCAGGAAGCCCCAGGCATAGCTGAGGAGCTACTGACAACTGATAGCTGCTGGGAGAGGGAGAGCCAATTGGTGACCACTGGTAGGTTGACAAGGCTCCAAGACCCATACCACAGTATTTGGGCAAAAGAAATTGGACTTGATGGGCTTAAAAGAAAGGACAGAAAGTTGGGCAGGTATGGGAGAGGTGGACCCGGGGGGAAATAGGAGAGGGGAGTGAATATGATCAAAGTACATTGTATGGAATTCTCAAAGAATTAATAAAAATATTCCCTTTTTTTAAAAAAAGATGCTGGTAGAGCTGGAGAGATGGTTCAATGGTTAAGAGCACTGGCCGCTCTTGCAGAGGACCCAGGTTCAGTTCCCGGCATCCACATGGTGGCTAAAAACCATCTGTAACTCCTAATTCCAGGGGATCTGACACCCTCTTCTGGCCTCCATGGGCATTATACAACATGGGTGCATTTATATACATGAAGGCAAAACATACATTTAAAAAAAAAAAATTATGTGTATGAGTGTATTGCCTGCATTATGTGAGTGCACCCATGTCGTGCAACGCTGCAGAGGTCAGAAGAGGGCTTCGGATTCCCCTCGAACTGGAGTTAAGGATGGTTCGTAGCCACCATGTGGGTACTGGGAATCGAACTTGGGTCCTCTGCAAGAGCAGTCAGTACTCTTAACCACTGAGCCATCTCTCCAGCCCCAAAACATACATCTTTTTTTTTTTTTAAAGGACTCTGGTCACTCTAGGAGTCCAGACCAGACCTGTAGATTGAAGAAGTCATGCCAATCCCCCTTCCCCCCACCCTCCATGCCGCTCTCTGTCTGGGGCACAGTGTTAAGAAGCCAGGCTGTTCTGTGGCTTCACAGCCCCTAATTTATGGTTCTATTTAGTTCCTGGCTCCTCTATGTGTCTTGTCACGTAGGCTGTGCTGTGTTGAACTGAATCACATGGCAGGGAACTTCCTGCCACCCTCTGAAATGATATAAGTTAGATGTTTTCCTTTGTGTGATTTCTCTGAAAGCTCTCCTAGGGCTTCCTCCTGTCCATGATGACTCTTCTCTCACTTTAAGTGCTCCCTCTTAATAAAGTTCCTCTCCAGGTTTTAAGGGGAAGCCTCTCCTTCCCTTCAAGGCTCCATCATGTTGTCTGATACCTCCCTTTTCTAATGCTCTCTCACCTTACCGCTGGATCCTGGTTCTTCCCCTGGTCAGGAGTCTCTCTCCTAATAAAACTCCTTTCTAAAGGGTAATTTAGTGTCAGGTCCTTTCCTGAGCCAACAGCCGTGCTCTTATTTTTGAACACATGAAGCGATGAGTCAAAATAAACCTTCTTCTTTTAAGTTGATTTTATGGGATGTTTTGTCTAGCTCAATCTGACTGGTAGTTTGAAGTGGGCCAAGGGGGAGAACTGGGTACATGAAGGTCAGCTGTGTTTTCCTGAGGGCAGCACCTGCCTGGCGGGTCCTGTGGGAAGAGGTGATGCACAAAGATGGGGCAGGGATAAGCCACAAGAAGAGAAAGAGCAAGCACCACACATAGGATGTAGCAGCCCAGGAAGTTCCAACCAAGGCCTTTGGAGGAAGGGCCTGGAAGTGGAGGTGTGCTCAATCGAATGTCTCTGGTAGACAAGTGGATGGACCAGGGTCTTAAAAAGCAAGGGAAGAGTCTGGCTAATCCACTGCCCCCTGGGCTGGTGGGAATTTGTTTGTTGAAGGAATGGGAAGTGAGGCCTGGTTTCCTTTAGCTCCGGATAGGAAAGTAGCTTCTGTTTAGCAAGATGCTTGCTCTGCAAAGATGGTGGATGATGGTTCCAGTGGCATGGGGCTGGGGGGTGGGGGTGGAGAGGTAGGGGTAGGCGTGGGTGTGGGTGGGTGAGAGGGTGGCAGGTCTTTGAGCAGCACAGCCAGATCGTCACTCGGCAGTTTTCTCCTCTTATAGGGGATTGGTTTCCTCACTGACAAAATTTTAGGGGTGTTAGGACACAGGTCTGTACCTTCAGGCCAGATCCTAGAGTGAGAATCAGGCCACACCTCCCTGCAGCTCTCTCTGGGACAGAGTTAGGAAGCAGTTAGCATGTGACTTCTTCATGCTCTGTCATGTACACTGTGCTGAACTAAGTCATGTGAGGTGAAACTTCCCACCACCCTTGAAAGATAAAAAGTCAGACCTTCCTTTATTTTGGGGATTGGTCGGAGACTCTTGGCAGGGTGGGGGTGGTGGTGGTAGTCTAGAGATGAAGGATGCTCTTTGAAGAGGATCTTCTGGCTTCTCCCTACCAGACTCTCTTGGTGGCTCTGTCTCTGTCTCTCTCTTTCTCTCATTCTCAGTCTTAATGAAGCTCCTGTCCAGGTTTTAAAGGGAAGTCCCTCCTTCCCTTTAGGGCCCCATCATGTTTAGAGTTCTATATATTATGTTTATTTCTGTCTAATGCTTTCCCTCCCACCTTGAGGCCTGTTAATGGCCTTGAGGCCCTTTCATCATAACAAACCTTACTGAAATAACTGTCAGCTTTTCTTTGCAGACTGACCACTGTGGCCTTCTTTGCTTCTTTTGAACAAAGAGGCTTTGGTGAAGCCTAGGGAGTGGAGTAGAAGCAGTGATGGGAGGGGACCGCACATGGCTGAGACTGGTGTCAGCCTCCCTCCTCTGCTAGATGTAAGCACTCTGAGTTCAACTCCTTGCTCCCTGAAATGGCCTACTTTAGATCTCATAATAAAAGTCATCACAAACGCAGCAGTGACACTTGTTCCTGTTTGTTGAACTTCTACATCAGGCCAGCCCGACTCTTGGGAGTCTTGCTGACAATAGAGAGCCATTGAGTGTTCCTGGGCACTGTGATAACTTCTCTACACAGGCCTCCCAGATCAGGGCCATGGCAAAGAGAGAAGGATGATTTACTGAAGGCCTCAGGCTATGAGCTGTGAGCTCATGGTGTTTTCTATGAGCCTTCTTGGCCTAGTGGGTCTGGCTGTGATGTCAGCATCCTTTGCACAACATTCTGGGTATAACATAAGCACATCATTGCCATTAGATTATCGTGGATCTGTAGCCATGGTAACTAACTGAGCAGAATATTATAGTCATGGTCAGGCCTATAGAGATGGTAATGGAGCTGTTGACTCTGTCTAGTAGGAAGAGGAGGAGAGGGTGGATTCTAGCCATCACTCCCTCTGGTCCTTCCCCAGCTGCAAGGCATCTTGGAGATGTTAGAGAGTACAGGAAGTGGAAGCCTGAGGGAAAACAGGGGTGTTTTAATGATTAAACCTTTCATGAGGTCACTATCCATGATGGGATGGGACTTTGTGGTAATGCAGCTGTTTGGGGGTTACTCAGGCTCCTCTAAGTGCCCCCCACCACCTGTGCTTTGTAAGCAAGTCCAATAAACTCACTGGTTTGCCAAGATGAATTTTGGTGGAATCCTTACTTTGGCCTGTTGACTATGCTCTTTCTGGACATAGATGTTTATGTCTCTCCCAGACAAGTCAGTGCAACACCACCTTTGGCTCGAGGCATGACTGCTGAAGGGAGGGCCTGGGGGCTACTGTGGAAGGTTCTAGAATAAGCCTTGAGTTGTGGGCAGGAGGCTGCTGAGACATTATCCTTTCTCAGAGTTTCACAGGAAGTGCTGGCCTTGTGATGGGTTGAGGCAGCTTCATAGCTGTGTGAACTAGTGAATAATAAAGTTGTCTGTTTTCCCAAACTCCTGTCAAATCAGCATACTCCTATTGGGCCACAGTAAGGACACACCCAGACTAGGTACATCATGCACCTGGCCCTGAGCTTGGAGCAAAGTAGTTATCCCCTAAAGAGCAGTGACTAGGAAAACAGCTATTTAGAAAAGACCTACTGTGTGTGTGCCCACTGTAGACACTCTTCAGTATCAGACAGCAGCCCTTGGGGACTCCCACTCACTCCCACTCACTGGGCTGTCCGTGCAGCCCTGGCCAGTTACACAGCCTCTCTGAGCTGCACTTCTTACCTTCAGGTCTCATAGTGATGTTATGAAAATACTATGACATGGCTCAGTAGGTAAAGTGCCCGCCGTACAAGCATGAAGGACCTGAGTCCAAATTCCCAGCACCCATGTAAAGCCAGGCATGGTGGAGCATGTCTGCAACCCCAGTGTTGTGAGTATAGAAACAGATTCCTGGAGCAAGCTGGCTAGCCAGTTCTAGGTTCAATGAGAGTCTCTGTCTCAAAAAGCAAGGTGGAGAGTGACAGGAGACACCTGACCCAGATCCCTCATCTCCACATGAGTGAGCATACTCACACATACACATACACATACATTGAAGCATGCATATTCCACATATACTTTGTAAAAAACCAGTATGTCCAATCCAAGTCTGGCTCAGGCCTCCCAGACTCAATGGGGCTCAGAGGGGCTGATGAGGCAGCTGTGCCTCCTACTGTCTACAAAGTCAGGTCTTGACTGGGTGCTTTTTACCTCTCTTTTCAGTGGTGAGGACCGTGGCTTCCAGAGGCTCCCCCCAGCCCTGTCTCGTCTTGGCAGACAGCCTGAAGATGTACGCAGACTCAGGGGTCAGCTCAGTGGCTGTGAACTGCCGCACCGTGGCGCCCACCTCCACGGTGGTGAAGGTTTGGGGGCTGCTGCTGGCCAGGCGGTAGGCGATCTGGTACCCTGTGGGCAGGAGAGGACATGGGGAACCATCTTAGCCATTTGTTTCTTCACTTGCCCAGAAAATTCACACTCCTGACATCCCACCATGAACCTTGGATTGGAAACCCAAATGCGGACAGACCTCTGTTCCTGCCCGATTTCCGAAGGCACATTGAAAGGGGGTTCACACCCCCGGTGAAGAGCTGGAGGGATGGGGGTGAGGGGGTGGTGTCTAAGTTCAGGGCCCGTGAACTTGTCACACTCTTCATCCTCCAGAGGAAAAAGATGTGAAGACACTTTCATCTTTTCCAGGGATGCTGCATGTAGGGAGAATGCTAGCAGACCTGGAACCCCACGTTGCTCCCTATGGGAGGCTGTGGCAAGCTCATGCCTGTGGCTCTTTCATTCCTTCCATCTCCTTCCTGTAACGCAGCCCTTCCTCTCATCCCAGCGGGAAAGGCCAGTGCCTACCCTCAGCATGTTATTTTACATCTATCAGAGCTTGCAGCAGAGCTTGCAGCAGACAGGACAGCCACATGGTCTCACTTCCATTAAGCAGCCCCTTCCTAATCTTTCCCTGCTGCGGCCATTCCTCACATTCCTGTTTCCACATTCAGGTCCCTCAGCCTCCCTTCCAGCCCTCCTAATTTGGGAGGCTCTATGTTAAATCCTTAAACACCCCCTCTGTATACTTCCATCACTCTAGACAAGGCTTGCTGGCTCTGCACGCCTCTCCAAGTTCCCAGATTATGAAGGGGTCATGGTAGGTCAGACATTAATAATGAGCAAATCCCACCAACCGGGCAACCGGAATGCCTGCCTGCCAGCTTCTGGAGAAGACGTGCCAGCTCCCCAGTCCCAACCCTGGCTGGCTGGGCAGATCAAGCTCTGGGCTCATGGACCACGTGTGGTCCAGCTGCTGATTAAAATGAGAATGGATGGGGTGCCATGACTTCCCCAAAATTAATGACAACACAACTGTTCAAGTTAAACAAGTGGGCGGAGCACAGCACGGGAAATGGAAAGCCACAGAGCTGAACTGGTCCTCCACAGCTCTGCCTGCCAGGGTAGCCTGTGAGTGGGGGCCACCTGCAGGGACCATGATGGAGTCCTGCCTTCCTGTCAAGACCTGCTTTCTGCTACACAGATTGGCTAGTCCCCTGGACTCTCTCAAGTAGAACTCTTTGCTCCTCTGGGTTCCCCTGACCTGGCCCTTGGCTCCAGGGGTACTCAAGCTGACTGACCATTTCCTCAAGTATGTGATGAGCCCTGTCCAGTCCTCTGTCAGGAGGCCAGGAAGGCGCTCATGTGGATGTCAGATTGCCATACCTTGACCTTTAGACCTAGCAACTGAGGTGGCAATCATGACCACAGAGACTAGGAGACAATATGCCCAGACCGGTCCACAATGACACCAAGTGTGCTTGAGATGCTGACCTGACTCCAGCCCCTGAATGGCCATTGGGGCCAATGCTTGCCTCTCATAGTATGATGGATAGATAGACTTTTTCAACTTGATACAAACTAGAGTTACCTGGGAGGAGGGAACCTCAACTGAGGAATTTCCTCCATCAGACTGGCTTGTGGCCATATCTGTGGGAAACTTTCTTGATTGCTAATTGATGGAGGAGGGCCCAGCCCACTTGTAGGTGGTGCCATCCCTAGGCAGGTGAGCCTGGGCTGTTTACGAAAGCTAGCTGAGCAAGCCAGGGGAGCAAGCCAGTAAGCAGTGTTCCTCTGTGGTTTCAAGCTCCTGTCTTGAGCTCCTGCCTTGACTTTCCTCAGTGATGGACTGTAAGATGAAATAAACCCTTTCCTCTGAAATCTGCTTTTTGGTCATGGTGTTTATCACAGCAACAGAAAGCAAATTAGGACAAAACTGGCTCTCCTTCCTGCCTTGGGGACCAAGTATTCTGGGGCTTCCAGCAGCTGACCTAAAATCCTGTCCCTTTCCATTTATTGACCAAAGACTGCCGGTCAATAGAGATGGCCAGGTGTCCTTTCCCCAGGCCTTCCCTTCCTCCTCTCCCTCCCTTGCTCAGTCAAGCTTGAGTACTCAGGGGGATAGTCTCAGGCCTCCTCAACAGCCAGTATCTTGAAGATGTCACAACTGCTGGGCAGCCACATGTGGGAGACCCCATGGGGCTCCTGCAGTCTCTCCCCAGTGCTCACAGAAGCAGTTCCCAGCAGACCAACATAGAAGGCAAGGCATTTGGAATGGTAAGCTTTGCTCTGGGTTGCTGAGCACAGGACCCTGAGGTGTGTCCTACTTTTAGTAGAAAAGACCCACCCACATTTATCTTCCAGCGACAGAACAGTCCCCTGAGCTCCTGCCTACTCCAGAGAATGTCCAACCTTTTGACCTGGTTACCGAGGTTATCATCTACAAAGTTCACACCCCAGAATGGTGTAATGAAAAAAACATGGCCCACTATAACACTCCTGGGTGTTTACCCTAGAGTTGACACAGGGCAGATAGTTACACATCCATGTTTACTGCAGCACTAGTTGTGATAGTGGAGTTGGGGAACCAGCCTAGGTATCCAACAACAGAGGAATGAATAAGGAAAATGGGACGTATGCACACAATGGAATTTTTCCAGACAGGAAGAGTGGAGTTGTGTCATTTGCAGAAAAATGGATGCAACTGGGAACAGCCGGTAGGTAAATCACAGAAGCCAATCACAGAAAGAGAAATGCCGTATGTTTTCTCTTATTTGGGGTTCCTAAATTTTATAGACATATATATATCTCCATACACACAGGTGCACATATACGGCACAAAAGCAGAAGTAAAACTGTCTAGGGGAACGATGAAAGCGGGGGTGAGAAAGGAGAAGGGGAGGGGAGGGGATACATTCAGTATAAACAGGTATGAAAGCTTGAGAAAAATAAACCCATCGATGTTTTAAGTCAGCTTCCCGTTTTGCACTGGGCCACACTCATAGCTATTCTGGGGTGCCACAGCCCATGGGCCATAGGTTGGGTACACCTGCTAGAGCATGTGTCCCACAGCCACCTCTGTGAGTGGTCTACAGCCCTGTATGGGACACGTGGCTGTGCTAGAATCTGGCTCTGTAAATTCCCCATGCTCTGACATGAACAAATGATGCCCTCTGCCTTAAAGGGCAGGACCACAGGCCACGTCTCATAGTCTACTGGGGCTCCCCCTGCTGCAGGCAGAGGCTTAGCCTCAATTCCAGGTGCTCACTCAAGTTCACAGGAAAATCCACACCAGTGGTGATCATTCTACAAGGCTGATTAACAGATCAAAAATTCAATGATTGTGGAGTTGGAATGTTACAGGTCCAGATTACCTTGGGCTGTGGTTAGCTCCCTAAATATTATTTATTGCCCACCTCTGTGTCTTACTAAACTCCTTGTGACTATTACATAAATCCTTTTGAAATGTACTACCAGATCCGTGGTTTCCACCAACTCAGAGGCTAAGAGTGCCATCAGATAGCATCTGAGGCACGTGGTTGAGCTTGCCCTGCTTTGCTGTAACCTCCCTATCTGATGTCCCCATCAATGTGTTTGAAATATGTCTTGATTTATGATTTCCTTTGTTCTGTTACTATAGAAACTTCATGAAGCTGCTATCACATTGGAACATGGTAATTGAGGTAACTCAAATCTGTGATCCCGACCCATGTTCATATTTCACTCCAGAATAAAATATCTGTTAGTCCTTTGGAGGTGAGAGCTGTGTTGTTGTGGGTACTGGTGGTGATGGTGGTGGTGGTGTGTATGTGTGTGTGTGTGTGTTTTGACACTTGAGACCATCCTGGAGCACCTGGTCTCCATCCTCAATACCTGTTGGATGCTTTCTTCCTGGCAACCTCCTCCTCATCATCTGGGTGTTTTAGGAATCTTTGCTATATCTAGAGAGTTATTTATTTCATAAGGATTTTCCCCCCTCAGGGCTGATCCTCCCACCAGTCACCTATTCCCCCTCAGTTCTACAGAAGCTTCAAGCACCGACCCTTGCTAGGAAAACACTTCCCTCGACTAGGCTCTAACACAGGAACAACACCCACCTTTGTCAGGCCTTATGGAGTTAGCTACATCTGGTGCAGACTCACTCCAAGTCCAGCATAGAACAGACAACTTTAAGTGGGAGTTCCACCTGGAAGCATCCAAGTCCAGCATAGAACAGACAACTTTAAGTGGGAGTTCCACCTGGAAGCATATAATTTCCAACAATTTCTACTTCCTTGGACACTGTGGGGATAACCTAATTTTAAGGGTTTAAGATTTATTTTTTATTTCTGTGTATGTGTCCATGTGAGTATATACCATGTGAGTGTGGGTACCTGGGGAGGCCAAAGAGGGCCCGAAGTTACCGGGAGCTGTGAGCTGCCCAGCATGGGCACTAGGAACTGAACTCGGATTCTCTAGGAGCAGCAAGCACTCTTAACTGCTGAGCCAGCTCTCCAGCCCCATAATTCTATGGGCTTCTAAGATCAGTGTCTCTGGTCATTGAATCAGTATTTATTTTGGAAAACTTATAGCTTTTAAGCTGCCTTTCTTTTTTAAAAATGTGTTAATCCAGGTCTGGTGGCACAAGTCTGTACTCCCAACTACTCAGGAGGCTGAGGCAGGAGGACCAAAATCTCAAGCAAGCTAGCCTGTAGCAACTTAGCAAGATCTCTGTTTCAAAATAAGTACAAGAAGACCTAGGATTATAGCTCACTGGTAGAGTGTTCACCTAGAATCCCCCAGTGAGGGGCTGGGGTGTGGCTCAGTGGTAGAGCACCTGCCTAGAATCCCCTAGTGAGGGGCTGGAATTGTGGTTCTGTGGTAGAGCACTTGCATAGCATACGTGAGGTTTGAAGGCCCAATTTTTAGTATAGCTAACTATCAAGGCCTTATAATGTTACATTAGTGTGTTGCTATTATTTCTGTTTAGATTGTATTACATCTACATGTCTCAAAAGCAGTGCAGAAGTGCAACATACACAGTACAGAGCATGTCTCCCTGCCCCGACAGTCTTGACTCTGGAGCACCTCTTCTTCTA